ATTTGAACACCCCATTGGTGAGTAACTCAACCAGCACATTAAAAGAAATTTTGCAGATGGTGATTTGCAATCTATTGGAAGGTAATTATTGATTATGTTTGAGGTGGACTGAGACACCTCAAGAGACACTATGAATATACAGGAATAATTTGTAAGTTGTATCAATAGTGCTTCCCTATGAATTTTGCACCCTATGGCCTCCATTCCTGGGCACAGCTCTATTGCTGTTAATGGTACACAGCACTTTTTGTCTTTGCTTTGTCTCTGGAACCAGCAAAGTTACACCATGGGGCAGGTTCCCTTAAAGCTGGAAATGGGTAACAGTGATGGCAGGCCAACTTCTGTAAAGGCAAAATCTAACTCATTCTGAGAAATCTTTCCCATCATGAAAAGTTGAGCACTTCTCATCACTGCTCGGCTATCTGTAGAAGTACCTTTAGGAATTTTAGTTAATTGGCTGTGCTGGGCTGTTTTCTCTGCGGGTGAAATAATGAGTCCTTTCAAAACTAGAGAGGTGCCACCACAGAGTGAATTGCTGCAATAAATACAAGGAAGTGAGGCCAAGTAAAAAACCACTTAGATGTCATTGAGGTTGGACACAAACCTTAGAGCTGTTTTACCTCAGGAGAGTCAGACTTTCTAGAGCAACCAACGAAGTGTAGCAGACAGTCCAGGTAAGGCCCCTGCCTCTGCTGTGCTTCTGGGAGTCAGCTAAGCCAGTAGGAAAACTGAGGCAAAGATACTTTGACTAATGTCAGTTCTGACAATGAATGAATAAAGGATTCTGATGAAAAACAGATACACTCTATTAAAAAAAGTTAAATTAAAATAAATGAAATTTTGGGCAAGCAATTTGAAAGTTGTAACAGGGTAAGTTAGGTGGGTTACCAAGAAATCATTAGTAGAAAAAGTTATTTAGCTGGTCTAAGAAGAGCAATAAAGTTCTTGTAAGGGGTTCTGAGATTAAGAGATATGGCCTAGATTTTTTTTTTTCCTTGAAATAAAATCCATATAAAGTAATATTTACTGTACTTCACAAAATTAGAATTTTTTGAAACTAAGAGAATGATCATGTTCCTAAAGCATAGAGTATGAATCTCGTGAATATTTAATACATTAAATTTTATATATTAAGCAGAAATATACCTGTTTTTCTATCTGGATCAAATCTCCTGTAAAAGGCCAAGACATTCATTGGTCATGAATCAGTATGGTCAGATTTGTGTCTACTTACATAAATCAAAATTTTAAAATTTTCTCTCAGGGCAGTATTTTGGTTATGTGACTGTAAGTATTAATATCAATATCAAATATCAAGAAGATATAATCAAACTTTACTTAAGAGAAATGTGATGGCTTTTAAAAAACTAGTAACTTCATCAGGGTATGTGCTGGGGAACACATTGTATTAAAAAAGCACATTTGCATAAGTTTTTAACTTATGACAGTCAGCAAAAAAATTCTTTTAATTAAAAAAGATTGCCTTTGGAAATCAGATTAATTATTTAAGTGTGTTTAGGAGCTGAATGTAATCCAGGCAGTTATGCATACATATTACATAATAATAATAATAATAATAATAATAATAATAATAATTAGTAATGGAACTATAAAATGGTTTGGGTTGCAAGGGACCATAAAGATCATCTAGTTCCAAACTCCTTCTACTAGACCAGGTTTGTAAAGCCCCATCCAACCTGGCCTTTTACACTCTCAGGCTTGGGGCATCCACAGATTCTGTGAGCAACCTGTTCCAGGTTCCTGTTCCACCCTCACAGTAAAGAATTTCTTTCTAACTAACCTAACCAACTCTCAGTTGGAAGTCATTACTTCTTGTCCTATCGCTACAGCTCCTGTGCAAGTCTCTCTCTGGCTTCCCTGTAGGCCCCCTTCAGATACTGGAAATTGCTGTGAGGTCTCCACACAACCTTCTCTTCCCCAGGCTGAAGAGCCTCAATTTTCTCAACCTGTATTTGTAGGGGAGGTGCTCTAGTCCTCTTGTCAACTTTATGGTCCTCCTTTGGACTTGTTCCAACAGTTCCTTGTGCTTATGGTGGGGGTACCAAAACTGTACACAGTACTCCAGGTGGGGTTTTACAGAGCAGAGAGGCAGAATCATCTCCTTCAGCCTGCTAGCTACTCTCCTCTTGAGGCAGCCCAGGACACTGTTGGCTTTCTGGGCTGTGAGTGCAAACTGCCAGCTCATGCTGGATTTTCATCAACCATCACTCCCAAGTTCTTATCCATAGGATATTCTCATTCAGTTCTTGATCTGTAGGTGTACCTAAGATTGCCCTGACCCAGCTGTCACTGTCTTTATGAGCTTCATGAGGTTCACACAGCCCCACCTCTCAGGCATGTCCAGGTCCCTATAGATGGCATTCCCTCTTTCCAGCATGTTGACTGTACTACACAGCTTGGTGTCATCAGCAAACTTGCTGGAGGTGCACTGTCTGTGTCATAGACAAGGATGCTGAACAATATTGACCTCTGTGGGACACACTTTTCACTGGTCTCCAGACGGACAATAAGCTGTTGACTGCATAGATTAATGGATAATTATAGACTAATATATTCTCTACCAAAACAAAAACTGTAACAAACCAAAAATAAATGTATTCCTTCAGTGGCTGCTTAGAGGTGTTCTCACATTAAACCAGGAAGCAAATCACAAAGGTTAGCTGATTCAACAGAAGATTTAAAAAACGGGAATAATTTATAATTTCTTCATATTTACAATGTAACTGGTACATGAATGAGTCATCTTACACTGTTATTATCATTCTTGGCTAGAGTGACAGTGATGAAAAATTCTCCAGTCAGACCAAATATAGAAGAATGTGGGGCATGTGCCTTCTAAACAAATAATTTTTAACACAACTCCAAGTGGTCTTATTTTTGTTATTTTATGCTTGATCATCTGTTGCTCGTAACATTGATCTTCATTCCACTTGGTATCATACCTGCCTGAGTCAGCTCATGTTACTGTCAGTGATGATATATAAAGAATAAAAACTGCATTTCAGCTGCTGAGGTTCAAGAGGAAGGAGTGCACCATTAAACCAGAAGATTTACCTGAATTCACCAGGTAAAGCTCTGTCTTGTCAGTGCTTCATGGGTAACCTTCTATTTTTATGTCTGTGAAGAGGCAATGAATGAATTGGGGTAGGAGGGAGCAGCAGGTGTTTATTGAGAAGGCAAATATGCTATTATGTAGCTCATGGTCAGTGATCAGTATGCAAGCATACGAAGGCTGGGGACAGAGGTGATGGACTGTGACAAACAGCAAAGTGGCATGCTGATTGACCTGAGAGCCCAGTGGGGAACCAGGCAACACCAGCAAAATTCATGAAGTGTTTCTTTCTTGGCTGACACGCCACTGATGCGTGCTGGGGAGCTACTGTTAGTCAAGCTGTAGAGCAGCATCTGCCATTTCCAGACTCATCAGTGACACCCATGGGTAAGGTGGCATTTGGGTTTATGTAGCTGATGACAAACTGAGCAGTCCTTTCTCAGAAATCACCAGTAGTTTCTCAGCAATCTTGCAAAGACAAAGAAATGTGTGCTCTCACAGCAGTACACTCTCACTCTTGCACATTAAGCATGCATTGACCTGGCTTCCTTCCATATGTGATTGTCAAGCTTCTGTTCCTCAGTCACTGGTTTTTATAGCAGAATTGACACAACACAGTTTCTCTGTGTAAAAGTCACAATAATTCCCTTTTGTCTCTGCTTATCTTTTTGTACCAATTTATGGAACAATTTCCTGAAATTTCTCTATTATTTCCTCAATATGAAGTGAAACCTGATACATTATAACATAAAAATGATATTGTACATAATGCTGAAGGAGTGGAAACCAAGACAAACATTCTAGCAGCAATAAGCAACACACCTACATTAAATAAACTTCCTTGCATTTTCTTCCTTACTGGGATTGATGAATTTAGGAAATACTGATTTCCTAAAAAATGCTAGTCCTGATTTTAAGAAAGCCCCCAAAAACCACTCTTACTGACTGTCAAAACAGAATTTAACCCACTGGTTTTTTTTCACCTGTTTTCTTTCATATTATCTAAAACTGAATTTAATCATATATACCAGAGGAACAAAACGTGAAATTGCATGATTTTCACAGTGGATGAGAAAATTCCATCTCTCTAATAAGAAGATGCTTTAGAGGAAGCACATAAAATCACTCTTGCAGGAGCCTTTCCAGAATAAAACAACAGGATTTTCAATCCCAGAATCAAATTACCCTGGTGACTGGACTCCCAAGATTGCCATAAAAACTTACAGAGTCATCAAATTAAGACCAAAAAACTGACAGCAGATGTGAAATTCAAGATGACCTGTTTCTATGTGGTTATGTTTTTCTCAGACACTTGATGGCTAAAACCCTCAAATATGGAATTTTTACAGCTTAAAAACCTAGTGTGTATAAAGACATCACTTTAAAACCTGACCAGTACTTTCAGAATTGGGTATTAATTTTCCCCTTGAAGGTTAAAATCCCTAAATTAAACTTATTTGCACAGAGTTTCAGAAGATAAGGTTGCAAAAATCTGTATCCTAAATTCTCTGTCTGAGATAAAAAGCAATAAAGTTTATCTTGGCCTGTTAAGCATGTTATGATAGATAATTTCAAAGATAAGCCTCATCTGATGTAGAAAAGGCTTACCAAATTGAATGTGTTTAAACAATAGTTATGGGCTTTCAAGACTCCTGCTCAGGTCACAAGAAACATTTTTCAGTAGAACAAAAGGCTGGTCTCAGTAATTGGTTGAGGAGGAAAGGTGTGCACTTGTTGGAAAACCACTGTCACCACCTCACCACATGCTGAGACAGAATGTTACCATTGCACTGCTGGGCCTTCAAGAGTGTTTGAAGAGCTTTCAGAAAATAAAAAGCAAAACGAAACCAACCTAGCACTGACTCTGCTTTCAGAATAGCACAGAACAGTTTTTAAATTATGAACATGTATCACTGAATAAGCTTACCTTCCTACGATGGGATGGCACAATAAAATAAGTTTCAATATTATGCTTCTTCAAGAAACTATTCCTTTCATGACCATATCCTGGTTCTACCTCATAGTCCCCATTTAGGCACTCTAAGGTGGTCTTTGTAATGTGAACTTTCCTGGAGAGAAAAAATTAGACATCATTGTTTAAAACAAAGATACATTTTGAGCTACTTGCTACTGAAAAACACTCCTGTACAAAAGTTCATAAAGAGGTCAATAGGACAATTTACATGTGAGACTACAGGTTTGATGTAAAAATAAAAAGAAAAAAAAAGTGTTTTTTTGTACTTTTAGCTAAATTAAACATAGAAAAAAATTCTATTACATGCATTTTCTAAACTTGAGTAAAGTGAAAGAAAGATAACTGTTGATTATCCAAACACTTGCAGATTGGCTGATATGTAGAAAGTGAATGCCTCCACATCATCTTCTACGTTGCGTGGCTTTCTTCAGTTTTTACCTCAACAGCTGCTTGGGAAGATATCCTGCTGTTTGAAACTTGTGACATCCCACTCCAAACCTCTCTTGTTTATAAAGCAGAAACTTCTTTTTCTGTTTCACTTCACATCTCTGACTCATATAATTCATCCACTGTTTTGTAGGCAGCTTTCTGATTCACTTTGTTTTGGCAACACACCCATCTTTAATATTATTTCTGAGTTTTCTTATCCTGAAAAAATTTTCACATTTTCTCCTGAGAGACCCCTTATATTTGAAATTCAGAGAAGATATCTGAAAAGATTTTACTGCTTTCCTCTCATAAAAATGTGTTCAGATTTTTTTCCATGAGGTAATTTTAGGATAATGAGCACATAAAATACACTCCCAAAATTATCTAAATCAGATGTATGCAGTACATAGAAATCCACTCATCATTACTACAAAAATTTAATTGGTTCCTTTGTCCTTCTGTACAGAAACTGAGATCTCATAAAAATCAAAAAGAGGATGGCAGGTCCTAGTCCAAATGTGAGCTACACACAGAACACCCATGCACCTTTGCAAATCTTCACTGTGTGCATTTAAATTGAGTCCAAGGTTGTGCAATGAGTACTTAAAGTTCCAGGAATGCCCCATGGGTTGGCTGCAGGTTTATGTGCTCCTGTATCATCTGAAAATGTCATAATTATCTGAGCTCATAAACAGGTATATCTTTTCTATAGCACACGACTAGTGTTGAAAATTTTGTCATGTAAAAGGAAGAAGACATCCCCTCTCTCCCCTCAAAGTATAGAGATGTCTAAGGGTAAAAAATTCCTGAAACAGCCACAGGGTTTCATTTTTGTAACATGAAATGATCAAAGTCTAACATTCTTACTTTCCTAATCTTGTCTCATTCCTACTTTTTGTATTCAACAACTTTTAAAAATGATTTTGTTTGAAAATATTTTGTTTCTAATCTAACCTATTATAAAGATATCATTTGGAAAATTACAGGGGATAAATCACATAATACATTGATTGCTCTTGCCAAACACAATTGTTTTTATCAATAGAAATTACACTGCAAATGCCTCAAAAAAGGAAAGAAATTCTTCACCCATACAGTTTTCTAATTTTTTTGCTACAGTTCTTTTTCAGACTTACCCAGGCAGTCCTCCAGCTTCCATTACGTTAGCTAATGTCACATCATTTGACCAGACATCATACTGCCATTTTCGGAGACCCAGGACCCCACAAAGCACCCTGCCTGTATGCAATCCAACTCTCATGTTGAGATCAACCTCTGTGGCTTCTGCAACAGATCTGTAATGGACAGCATCAGAATATTAATATTTAGATGATGACTGCTCTTCATTTTCTCTCCTCCCAAAATGAACACATATATTTATACATGACTGAATAGAAAGGATCTTATAAAACCTGAAGTGGTATATTCAGGTACTCTACCTTCACTAGTTTCAAAGCCTTAATTGTAATTCCAAAAAAATAATTTTCTTGGTTATATTTTAATTAGTGTTTAACCAAAATCTCAGTATTTCTAAAGTTCTTGACCATTTCTGTGAGAAAAGAGGTACAAAGAGGCACTAGTTGAGATGGCCAATGTATAAGTAATTATTCCCATTCTACTATGTTCTAATTGGTTCAATTACCCAGTTACCAGCATACAGGACAAAGAAAATGATGAAAGTAATATATCATTGTAAGAACTACAGAGTGATTATAAACACTAATATCTTCCCAAATCTCCTATAAGAGTGGTACCAAACCAGCCTGTAACTAGTTTTGCACCTGTAAATTAAATTCAATGTTCAGATATTTTCACTGCCTAGCTGGTAAAGGATGAATTAATCTGCAGAATTTTTATTAAAAAAATTTTTTTAGTGCCACAATAAGGAAAGATTCTTCATTTCTGTAAATGAAGGGCATGCTATGACTTGAACTCTGCATAAAGTTGTGAACACTGAAAAGGCACCTTGAAACTAACTTAAATATTACATGTTATGCAATAAAACTGTACATAGATTTTTTTCCAGCCCTTTCTGTTAAAGAAAGGAAACTGACTACTCAGTGTAAGAATTTATTTTCACTTGATTTTCCTGATTTGAATTTTTCCAATACATTTAATAGAAGAAGACCTTAAAAGAATACTCTTGCTATAATTTTCTCTTGACCCTCATTGACCAGGTTTTTTTTTTCAAGTATCATCCAGTAACACTGGATTTTCCAGAGATCCCTTTAGAAAAACTTTTCAACTATTTCAGAAGTTGTAATTGTTTAAATACAATTAACAGAAAGGTCAGCACAGATCAAGATGTGGGATGTACAGAAAAGATACCTGGCCTCAATTTAAATGTGCAATTTAAATATGCACCTATGAAGTGCTGAAGTACATACCATGTCAGCCATTGCTAATGTGAGTAGCATGGAGATCTCTTTTGTCCCCACAGGGAATCTGTGCATAGCACATTTTTTAGTCATGTTTTATGCAACAGCACAGAAAGGCTTATGCACAGCTTTCTGAAAGACTAAATATTGCATTGTCCTATTCCTACTGACTGCAAGTCAGCTCTCCCTTACTCAGTATCTGTTCCCAGTCAAGCCTCGAATATAACTTCAAGGAATCCTGGAAGGATTCTAGTGTTAGAAAGCTTTGTTGTGCTCACTGTTTGACAAGGCTTTGAGGAAATGAAAGACCCCAATAACATAAGCCAGCTAACAATAAGGGACCACACTTTGTACCTCCACCTGAGCATGTGCATTTTGTCATTAATAGATTGGCCTTACACCAAGACTATACCTTGCAAGCCAAAGCCATTCAGGATTACACCTTGCCTGCTATATTGTCCTGCATAATTAAGAATCTATGTAATAATTAATGAACCCGCAAAAGTTTGAGTTTCTCTGTTCACAAATGAGTGTGGGTTTTTTTTTGTTGGTTCTCTCCCTCTTCCTCCATTTAAAAAAAAATAAAACCTCAGACTAAATGTATGTGGAAGGACAGTGAAATTCAAACACAAGTAAAGTCCATTCAAGGCTTTGACATTGCTTTTTTTGACTGGGGTAAATTTAATCTCCTCTTAGAAATTTTAATAGAATAACAAAAAGTAAATGAAAAAGGATGAATAGAGAAATACAACATAGATGACTATGCTCCTTGTTAAATAAGCTGAACTGTATAATGCACCAATGAACCATATAAACCAGAATCTGAAAACACTTTGTGTTTCAACAAAAAATTTCCATAAGTAGTCACTTTGTCCAAGATCTAAATTGAGAATGCATTTCTACATCTTCCCCAGAAGCTACAATGTATTTCACAGATGCTTTCATCATTATTAAATTTGAGTAGGAAAAAAAAGCTCATGAACAGTTCATTACATTTTTTGAGTTTGTCTTGTAGACCTTTGTGTTCTTTATGCAGATGATTTCGATAAATATACCCCACTGAACTATCAGAAATGAGGAACATTAATATAGAAAGAAGAGGCTTCAAATATAAATTCAGAGAAGTACAATGATAATGTTCAACATTTCTATAATAAAATATGACAAAAATGTCCACTGAATTATTTTAAATTATAAATACATTTCCGAGAAAATCACCTGTTCACAAACAAGCATGAAATAGGAAAAAGGAGTTTCTCATATAAATTATTCATTATAACTTATTCTCTCATGAGTTCCTATACTAAAGTTTTCCCAATGTTAACACAATAGTAGGTCCAGAAACAAATGGAAATTAAAAACCATTTTTTTTTTTCCAATTGTGTTCAGAGTCTGTGCAACTGACTAATAAAAGCATCTACTCTGTCAGCTCGAGTTTTCTACAAAGCCTTTAAATTTTATTTCCCTCCCTAACTACAAATATTTTATGTACTGCTACAAGCAATGAAAGTAATTTAGATCGCCTGCAGAACAGCTCCAGACCTGTGCTCCTGAGCACTCTAGGAGGGAAACAAGAAATCTGTGCATGCCATTTCTTATAATTATTTAGGTCTTTTCTTTAGGTCTAAAAATATCTGCAGAAATTAATGTTTCCTGGTTAAAGGCATAGATATGATTTTTGGTTCAATCACATACACTTCTCCAGGGTATTGCTCAGAGCACTAGGACAGAGAGTCAGGGCTGTTGAAGGGCTGCTGGCTTACTTTGGCAGAGGTGCAAGCTGACCAAACTTTCACCACTGGTAGACAGCTTCTTAAAAAGGCAGCTGCTGGTTCTTTAAAAACTTGAAGTCAGTTCAGTCCTGCCAGTTCAAACATTTCCAGGCTCTGGACTTTTGGATGACCAGGGGAAAAGCTTCAAGAGTGTTGACATTAGGGCAGTTAATGCATCTCTCTATTTTGTCAGGCAAAAAACACACAGGAAAACTTGGTATTTCCATTGGACTTATGAAAACCAGCTACTGTAGATCCTCTCCCTTTCCTGGTGATTTTGGTCAGCCAATGACCAAACCCATTGGAGGGAGACAGTTCGAGCATCTACCTCCCCAGTGCAAAACCCTCCCCAGGTGCAAATAAGCCAAACTTTCATCTGTGAGGTTTTACATGATGACTGGTGGAGTCATTCCCATTTGGTGGAGTCATCCATTTGGGATGAAATCACCTACATGTCACAGAACATAGCTGATAAACCCCACTGGGCTGCCCACTTTTCAAGAAGTCAGTTTTCAAGAAGTTTTCCTGGACAGTTTACTTCAGACCTCTTCAAGGCCCACATGCAGCAACAGCACTCAATCAGAAGGTCAGATGAGACTTATTCTAAAGTAATCCTTCCCCTCCTGACCACAGCAAGTGGAGTTTGAACTAAAGCAGTAAGCAGCAGCTGCTGTGACCTACAGATGTGCTCCTACCACACCTTGCTCCCTGCTACTACACACGGCCCGTGATGCAGCTAGTGATGCAATTCCCTCTGAGTCAGCACTAAAATGACATCCTAGTAAGGTGTTAACGGAAGAAGCATCATGAAAATGTACTGTCTGTGTGACAGCAGGAATGATTCCAGATTCCATTCATGTTTTGATAAGTTTATGAACGTTAACCAGAGTATTCTGCAGTCCAAAATCTGGTATTTATGTAGTGCTCACTCAGAATCTTTCCTTATTTCCAATTGGAAACATTACAGATTATTTCTTGCTCTGCAACATTATTGAATGCAGTTAAGTGTGTCATTTCACCACATTTTATCTCCTAAGAGGAGTTGCTGGGCTGAGCCAAAGAATTGTTAAATAAAATTTATATCCACTGATAAATTGCTGCCTAAGGAAAGGCAAAACAAGTAAGAATGTATAAAATTTACCCCATAACACTTGCTTTAAACAGAACTCTAGACAGCTTTTGGAGGAGAGAGGGAAGTAAGAGCTTGTTAGCTGGGGAAAAACTTTTCTTCATGGCAATTAGCTAACAAATGTGCCTGCTTATAAGGTAAAACACTGTAAAAGACTGAAACTTTCAAATGTGGCAATCAATTTAAGTAAGGTGAAGTGAATACTTGGCCTAACACAATATTCATAACCAAGGTGAGGATATCTGCCACATTAGAGGCACCAATGAATATGGTCATTTTAATAATATTACTAAAAAAAGCCTGGCAGTCAAAACTCATATGGTAAGAGCAACACTGGTGGTATGGAACACTTCACTCATTGCTGTGGTGCTTTAAGTGACTCTGAAGTAGAACAAACAGCTGGCCTGTGCTGAGGTACTGACACAATGGCTGTAGAAATTCTTTTGGAATAGAAGCAGAATATAACACTATTTGTTTTGTCAGTTTTTAAGAATAAAAAGCTCCTCCCGTAATTATTTTGGTTCTGTTCTCTTGAAGAAAACACTTTGAGGAAGGTGGATGAAATTGTGAAAATTATAATTATTTTATAATACTTTGAAAGTTATGTTCTCGGATGATACATTCAGCACCATATTGTAGGGTACTTAAATAACAGTTATGCAGAACATGAAGAGAATGGAATGTATCAGTTTATCTGAACACATTCAACTCAGTCCAATCACAGAACCATCAGTCAGATATACAAGTTTCTACTCCTTGATTTTCTGGAAAAAAGCTCCACCTCTTGTTAGTACATATTTCTGGGATGGGCACTATCAACAGATCCATCACATGAATCACAGCTCAAGAGATTTTATTTATTTATTTATCCATCCCAGGTAAAATAACAAACCTATCACTAGGGATGACAAATTCCAAACATAAATTTACAGTGCCAAGACTTGAATTCTACAGTAAAATGAATAGACTTTAAAAAGACTACCATCTGGCATCCACCTCTGCGTGAAAGGGGGAAGTTTTAAAAAAGTGACTTTGTATCTCATGGAACTGATAAACAAAGCCTAATAATCACACCAATACAACATAAAATGCTGCATTCCAACTTCATTCTCAGAAGCTCCTGACTTGTCCTTTTCATTTACTAAATATATTTTGAAACAAGTTAGTCTGGGGAATCTACTTTGGTTTCTGTGAAGAAGAGAGACTAATTGTGCTTATGCACAAAGAATGCAGAATAGGTCCTCGGCTATCAAACAACCCTAAGTAAACCTGACATTGTCTTAAAACCTTGCCTCTTACCCATCTTACCCTCTCACCCTGCTCTGACCAGTAACTACACAAAAGACCTAAAATTTATGAATTCTTTAAAAAAAGTAAAATCCTGAAATGGCCAGTTATCTTCTACCACAACCTCTGACTAAACATGTCTAGATAACATCCTACAGCTCATCCACTTAAAATCTCAAAATTGCTGATGCTGAAAGGGGCCTCTGGAAATCATCTAGACTAACATGTTTTCTCAGAGAACAGCTAGCTGCCCAGAACTGTACCCAGCTGGGCTTAAATTTCTCCAATGACATAAATGCCACAACTTTTCAGTGGAATCTCTCAAGTATCTAACTACCTCCACAATAAAAAAAAAGCTTTTCTTCTATTGAAATTGAATTTCTTTTTGGGTTGTGCCCATTTCCTCTTGTGCTGGCACTGAATGTCACTTGAAAAAGTTTGGCTTTATCCTCTTTACTCCCTCTCACTAGGTATTTATCTGCATTGATACGAATCCCTCTGAGCCTTCTCTTCTGCAGGTTGAACAGTCACAGTTCATTCTTTTCTAATTCAACTCCTTTTTCAACTTTACCTTATTGTCAGTAGCCAATAAAATGTACCCTAAAAAGGGAACATGTTCATTTCTAATAAAACTGAAACAACCTATAGAGGAAAGTTCCAACAGCTATATCAATACCTTATCCGTATACTTGAAATACAGCACAACTAACGAATTAAACATTAATGTTAGGTTTAAAAGATGATGAGAGCATCATCTATTGCTTTCCAGAGATTTAAAAAAAAACAAACCCAAACAAACCAAAAGGCTTTTGAAAAATGTATACAAGACCTGTACATGAAATTATGTTTCTAAAGGTCAGGGCTTCCTTATAAATGGAGTATCCATATACTTCTGAAAGAATACACATATTCTTTAAGGATTTTATATTATCATAGACTATCACAAATTATAGATTAAGAGATTATGAATTTTGTCAATTTTACAATGGTTACAAGCGTGATGAATTTGCATTGAATAAGGGAGAAAATTAATGAATTTACCCAACTTTTCACACTCTGAGAGATTTTGTAGTATATTTAGCAAATGAAAAGGAGAAGTGGGCAATAGAATACTGAAGAAATTTTCCATCTTTATCCTTTTTGTCCTAGAAAATGAAATAGGTCTCCAGCTTCACCAAAAAACTCATTCACAGTTCTCTCACATCCATATTTTTTGACTTGGCAAAATAATGATCAATGTAGACCTCTCAAGCATAAACAAAATTCTGAGTAGCAAAGTAAATTTCACATTACATTTCTGAAAAGCAGAATGAAGGTTTAAACATTACATAAAAAAGGAATAATCAGCAGGCTATGATTTTGAGACTACAAACACATATTCAAGAGGCATACATCAGGGCTGGTTTTGAGTTTACATACTGGCGTGCAAAATGAGCAATGTTTATCACAGCAAAACAATAAATTTGACTTCTTTCATTGTGGCAATAGGCAATAAGGCGTATTTTTTTATTTTCCATTATCTTTCTGCCACCTATTCAGTACATGTAGGTGCCGTCTATATGCTCAATTTACACACTTACTCCTTACAGTGATTAAATGGAGTGGAGAATCAATGTCTAGAGTGGCCATTCCTGAAATCAGGGTCCTGTGGCCTGGACGCGAGAGAGTGACTTGCCAGGTGACACAGATGTTAGCAGCCACAGATGTTTTCCTAAGAGCACACTTCATGAACACCACACTGGAGCTGTTGCAGCACTCCCGTCTGGGCTCACCAAGCTTGGTACTTACGTGATGGTGTCAATCATATCCAGTCCCATTTCAACACAGCAATGGGCATGATCTGTTTTGGGCTGGGTCAATCCTGATACGCAGTAGTAACAGTCCCCCAGGATTTTTATTCTTCTGCAGTGATTTTCCTTTCATAAAAACAGAATGGTAAAAGTTTTACTATTTATATAAATATTCCAATATTAGCAGGGTAAAAATCTTCTCCGATACTATGCAATAATTCAGGGAACCTTTCTGTGATCAAATGAGGTAATTTACAGTTCATGAAATCTGGATTCCCTGTACACAACAACTGACACACACGTTTGTTTATTTATTTAAAAATAGACACATATGTACTGGAGACCAGCCCTGCATCATTCAACACACATGTGTTAACACTGCTTAAAGATATAGCTCTGAACAAATAATATTGCCTTGCTCTCATGCTTGGTTACTATGAATTAAAGATTTGCAATGAGACTTCATTTCTATATGGACCCAAAACAAAGGACTGAGGCCAAACCACTGCTGAATATTGGGAAATGTTTGCATTCTGAAAAACTTTTGTTTCAAATTCAGTTCCAATTCACCAGGAAAGATTGTTTATTTATCTGTAGAGGTACACACATTTTTGCATTTCCTACTCATAAACCATAGTTTGCAATACAGCATGATCAGTATGACAGACTTGCAGATGAGAAGCTAGTCAGTTTGCATTACAGTCAAATTTATCTCTTGTTTGCATGAAGTTTAATTTCTACAGCCAAAGAGGTCTCTCCCATTTAAAAAAAAAAACAAACAGAAATGATGGCATATGATAATTGCTACCTCCACCTGAGCAGTAAGGTCATTTCTAAACAGAGAGCACATAACAAAATGTCTTCAAAAGAGCAGTACCTTTAACTAATAAACTATGAGGAGACATGAAGAGATGATGGTATCTTTTGTAACTAGACTACAGCAACATTTAGAGTTTGGCACAGAAAAGTAAATAACCTGATTAAATGAATCCAACTTACAAAGCTGGGATTATTCCACTAAGCACCATGAAAAATTAACTGTTGTGAATATGATGGGAGGGGATTCACAAAAGTCTGATTATTTTCCCAGCAGTGTGCAATATAGACTCGACTTAAGCAACACAGAAAGGGAAAAAAAAAGAAAAAAGAGAGAGATGATGATGGAATTTAAAATTTCTGGGAAAAAATACTTAATCATATAATCATACTTGTTCATTCTCATGCAGGCATATATATATTTTCATCCAGTCTCCTGCCTACAAGAATTCAAGCCTTCCTGAGTTGACCACATTCTCCACATCATTGCCCACATTCCAGCTCAGAAGCAATGATTATGCCTACAGTGATCCTTCTCTCTCTGACATTTCATCATGTACTGCCAGCATCTGGGACTTGTTGCTGCACACACTTCCTGCTGCAGGCATTCCCATGCCTCTCTTCTTTGTAAATGGTAATCAGTATTGAACAAGTACTATAAAATAAGAACTACCTCTGTTCATGCATGGAAGAAGGCACTGTTTGGGAAAGTTGGCTTGCCTACTTCTTTTTATAAATTAACCAGAAAATTCAGACCTCAAATAAAAAATGCTGTCTTTTGGGTATGCTTAAGTAGTACAAAAGGCTTTTCCAGTTGTGACTACTTAATATTTGTTCTTCTGTGCAGCAGTATTTTAAATATACCAACAATTATCATTATTAATATATATGTTAATGAATACAAGCATAGTTCTTCTAGGAGAATTATCACCAGGGCCCTAACAGTATTCCCACAGCCTATAGCCAAAAATGCCTCACCAGTTTTACTCAGACTTTTCTGAAATCCTTTGCTAAATTCTGTTATATAAGTAAAATAATTATTGTTACACATAAAGTAATATGTAGATCTCAAAATCTACATTGACACAGAACAGTCCTTTTAATTCAAGGTTTTTGGACACTAATATATTTTTTTAATGGAAACCACAAATTTTTTACTAGATTATACAGTCAAAAAAAGGCTTTCCCCCCCCTGCCTTTTTTTGGGCAGAACTTGAAGCACTAGAGTGTACTCAGTAGTTAAAACTGAAGCCTGCTTTCCAAAACAAATTCAGTTTTAGCCCATACTTCAAAATCTTCTATAAGGCCATTTTCATCTTCAAATTTGGTAAGAATGATTTGTGTCCAGACAATGCCTATTTGACCCTTAGGAAAGGGTCAATTCAGAAAAGCCATTTCAGTAATCTGGAGTGAACCACACATAAATGTTAATCAATCAGTGATTTCTCTTATTAGTGTCTACCTCACAAATGGCTCATTTCTAATGGCTTGATAACAGCCTGGTAGACAGTTAAAGAAAGAAAAAAAACCAACAAAACAAAGTTTACTCCATTACCACTTTTCCAAGTCAATTTCTTATTTGTGCAGGAGAAAAATAAAAGAAGAAAATAAATGCAACTGTATTTTCTGAAGAGACACTTACTTGATGGAAGACATGCGGGTTTTGAAATCACCAGCCTGTTTGTTCCCTATCAGATATTATCCTCGCTGCCCTGATTTATCAATTAATATGCAGCAATCTCTAGAAAAATTGTTTGTTTTCTTTTTCTTGACATGTGAGGTAGACTTCCAGGAAGGAGCCACAGTGCAGTATAAAAAGCCTTGAGAATTAGCTAACTACAATACTCCATAGAGTTTGATTTAGCAGAGTAATAGAGACACACTTATTGCACTAAGAGTTAGCGCAGACTTAAAAAGAAGAGTTTCTACCGTGGCAGAAAATACAAAAAGCAATCAAATGCAGTATAGGATGAATAGGAAGTGCCACAGAAAATTACTTGATAGGCTCTGATTGAGGAAAGCTGACCATCTCTAGATGAGCATTTGTAAGCTTTTAATTTAGTGATGTGTTTGTGAAGTCACTACAAATTATCCACCATCATGGGAGCCACATTATGCATGAACAAATGTAGAATTATCCAGGTTAGCTATAAAAAGGATGACATTTGCTTCAAACGCTTTCCCTCAATTTCATTAGCAATTATATATGCTGACCTAAAATGACCTAACTTTTGTCTACATTCTCACTCTTATGATCAGTTCTTTCCTTACTTCACACTGAGTGTAATTTTACAAAACTAGAATGATAAAAGTTTTTTATTTCTGGAGAGTGAAAACCTACGCAACAGAAATATATATTAATTTACGTGGAAATGAAAAAGGATTTTAGCAAGAGTATTTTATACAATCATCATAACTGACACACATGTTTGTCTCCTTCCTAGGATTTATTAAATATCCTTTTAGATTCTGTCCTTTTATGAAGGTATATTCCAGGAGAAGAAAGCCTAAAACAAATACACTATAAAATGATGAAAAATTAAGCTCTAAATTAAAATAGTTGTTATTTTTCCAGATTTCAGAAATACTTTTTTCTATGGTAACTACACAACAGGTCAAAACAAGAAGTGTCAGTACATATGCCCACAATTCAAGCACCTGAGTCTAATTGGAACAGTCCAATACAGTCCTGTACAAAGATGCAAACTTCAGATTTGCAGTATACAAACTCAGGAACCATTTGGAAATTTACTACAAGCATACTAATTATGACAAGAATTGTGACAAAGAATTAGCATACCAAGCACAGTATCCTCTTACCTAAAATATACTATAAATGCATATACCTAAAATAAAATATATACCTAAAATAGGCAAGACCTGCTCTCTGGGGTACTTGCCCATTTATACGTTCCTACAGTACTTAGAGTGTGTAATGTTAACTTTTTCCCTAGAAAACTGTCCCCAGACACTTACTTCAGCTTCAGTGTATGCACACATCTTTATTCCCTGATCCTATAGAGTTACAGGCATACTGATTAAGACCACTTTCATTTAAGATAGTTTACTTCCTTAGGTCTCTCCAGGAGATGTCTCTGGATGGCTGTTCAGAACTGGATTTAAACTTATGTGGTGATCTGCCTCAGTGGGATCCTGTGACTGTGCTGACTTTCCAGGGGAACTGAGGAGACAAGTCTCCTTAAAATTAGCTTTTTTAAATATCCTGCCCCTCAGTGCACACCAATTTTCGCAAAGAAGGGTTACATACTCTAAGTTCATACTTAAGCTTTCTGGCACCAATTTTCCCATCTTAAACAGTCCACAAAACTTTGTTAATTTTTTATTTTAAAAATACATCATAATTATCTTAATATAAATTAAAAGCATTCTATAGATGCAATATAAACAATTTTTTAGAGTGATTACTTCTAGGAAAATCTAGTTCAATGCTCAGCAAAGAACTGACTGTTCTTGACACAGTTAAGAAACACACAAGCTGATTAAAAATATTATCTACTGATTCTTTGCCTAAGGCTCAGAAACAATGTTTTTCAGTTCAGTATCTTTGAGCTTGAACTGGCGGAAAGAGACACTTCAGTAATGTTGAAATATGCAAAGTAAAAACTGTTAAATGCTAAGATGGCAATCAGGGAAGGATACTAAATTAAAATGGAAAAAAAAAAAAATAGACTCAGCCTGACAAAGCCTGGAGGTATACATAACTGTAAATGGAAGGAACAAGGAGATGGTGTATACCAGTCTACCTAATAGATGAGATACCAAAAGTGGCATGAAGAAATAAGAACTTTAATTCAGAATATCAAAACCCTCTTCTAGAGATGTCCTTTGAAAAGCACCTAAAATTCTTTCATCCTTGTCAGCTTGCAAATGAAAAGTCTTAGAAGCCCAAGATGCAGAAAGATGGATGCTGAAAGGGAAATATCTGAATCTCTAAAGACAAATAATTAATTCTGCATGTAGTTTAGATGCAGGAAGTGTGTGAGAAAAAAAAAATCTACCAAAGAAGAAAGCAATTAGAGAAAATAGAAACTTTTCTAAAAATCAAACCTGTTTCATTAAAATTCAGGATGCTGTAGAACTGCCTCCTCTTTTCTATTAAGATGACATATTACCAGTAAAATATTTGGGACATGTCTAAACTGCATCAAAACATAATAGAACTTTGACCATGACAGCATAATGCAAATGATTATATCTCATTAAAATCTGTCACTCTTACAAGTAAGCTGAAGAGCGACAAACTGAAAGCCAGCTGTAGTATCAAAGGTTGATTGAAAGGCATCTGAACACCTCATTCAAAGATCAGTTGCTTGAAGCATTTATTAGAGCATCTATTGATGTAATGCAGAATGTCTATCAGCAGGGCCAAATCTTAAGACTGCACAAAGCTACTCTTGTTTAATGGGAGGAAACCAAAGAACTTCATAATAGCAGCCAGAAAGAAGTAAACTAAGTCCGAGCAGCAGATAAAATACAATAGAAATGAATCCTTTTGAGTTGAACTATTCATGGGCCTTATGTGAAACTTCACCAACTCTGTGTTCAGGAAGGTGGCTTGTTATTGTTGTGTCCCAAGGGAATCCTTGCATGGAGAAACTTACCCAAAATGCTTGTATCAGGGTGCCTAAAGACAGTGACATTACAAAACTAGTAACCAGACATACAAATGAACCCCGAGGCATTCGTGTGTGGATTCTCTGATGTCTGTCTAGGATGAAGTCACACTCCTGCAAGGATACTAATAATGGCACTCTTTTTGTTTATATTTTTGAAACTCACATTCCTTCAAAGTGATTGAAGCTGGCCTTAGGGCTCAAAGTTACTGAGGAGACTGCAAAATCCTGTATGATTACTGAGGACTGTTCCTTGAAACCAAATGGTAATACTGTGAAAAATGAAACGTAAATCATGCCAACATTTTCAGGGAGCATCTGAACAATGCTCTTTGTCATATAGTTTAGTTTTAGTAGTACTGCAAGGAGTAGGGCTTTTGATTTGATGATCTCTATGGGTTCCTGACAGCTCAAGATATTTTATGTTTTTAAGTACTGTATTCTGATCAACTCTTCCCTAGCACTCTTCTCAAAGACTCGGTGATTTGCAAGGTAAAATAACTTGTGCAAGGTAAGTTTTTAAAAAACATACTTCCTCTAGAGGTGAATAGACATGAAAGAACATGATAAAAGTACAAATTATTTCTAGGAGGGAGTAGTAAGATCAGGATGTTTTTTCCCGCTCTCTACTAACTGAATGCTGAAGTACATTTTCAAAGGAATTGAATGACTTTATATTGAAACCTAAGGGTCACTTTCAGAATTCCCTGTCATGAGTTGTAACTATAGCTGAAGCTATTGTGATTTTTAAAAAAAAAGGTGTGGCATTTCAGAGAGTAAAACTTTGTGCCTTACCAAAAAAAAACAAAAAACAAAAACAAACCACCAAAAACCCACAAAACAAAAATCGTCTAAACACAGAACATATGGAAAGAGAGAAATAACTGATATAAAAAGCAAAAAGCAGCTTCTAAATGTGAGAAGGACAAATTTTAGCAGAACTGTACTGTCAAAAAGTAAAGACTCATTATTTCTACTGTGTGTCAATGTGCCCAAACGCCAAGATTCAACTTGAGGCTTCCGGTAAATACATGCTGCCTTATCCTTATTACACTTTCTACAGTGGTGACAGGGATTCTTTTAAAGCATTATATTTTAAAGACAGGGCAATTGTTTCAAGAATAGTAGTCATAAACTGCACCTTCCAGTTGACATTGCTTCCCGAGTAACAGCAGCACACAGCAGGAACACTCACAGATTGCACTTTACTAAACACAGGGATCCTACCTATCACTGTTAACACTCTTTAAAGTCTCTGCAATTTCCTCCTTAATCATTCTGAATACTCAAGCACAGCATAGTTTTAAAATCAGCCCTGTCCTCTGTTTTGACCTAATAATGAATACCTAGAAGCTGCTTTAACCAAGAGATCAGAATCCTTCTGAAAAACTGTAATTCTCCCTTATGACAGGGAGAATTACAATTACTTGTCTCCCTTAATCACATCACAAGGCACTAAGGAAAGCTTGTACATCCATCCTTTATCACACCTCAGTGAAGCACAGTCTGAACTAGAAGTACCCCTAAGGAGCAAATCTTCCTCACATAGCTGAAAGAAACCATGAGATGTCTTTTTTTGGTTATTGTTTTTGTTTTTGTTGGGTTTTTTATTATTATTTATATATTTTTATTATTTTTATTTTTATTTTTTAATTTGAAAAGGAATCCTTGCAGGCTGAATAGAAAAACTAAGGCTTTTTGCACAGAGTCTGAAAACAAAATAGCTAGACAGTAAAGGACCATAATTTATGTGGAAGAGTTCCTTCTCAGCAATGAAGGTTTTAAGGACCGCTGGCAAATAAGATAGATTTGATGAAGTTCTGCTTTGTTCAGGGGGAAAACACATTTTCAGCATCTTGTTAAATGTAATTTGAAACAAGATGTGTGACTTTTTCTGGCACAGCAATTCCTCTCATTTCCCATCAAATGGTTCTTGTCAAACATGGCTGCTTGGAGTTATAGGCAAGGAACATTTCTGTCATTTTCTCTTCCTTGGGGAATCTAGTACAATACAAGTGCAACAACAAAAACATAAGTATCAATGATGATATGGATCCTATTTTGCCTACAATAACCTCTCTCTGAAAAGCTACCATTATTTCTGTTTTAAGGAGTGTTCTCTCCGAGGAATGAATTTTACTCTCTAGCTTCCTATTATCACAGAAAATTTTATACCAGACTGTCAATATACATATTTTCCATTGTTCTGAATCTTTTTTCAATGAAGGATAAAAATGTAAATATTGAAAAATTTTCTCTATTTTGTAAAAACAAAACCAATGAAGAACACTGATGGACTGCATGAAGGGGGAAGAAAAGTATATTTTAAAATAGCACACTTCTTTCCTAAACAATTTAAAAAGATCGTTTTTCCTCTAGAATAAAAGATTGAAGCTTTAAAAATTCATGACATGTGGGGCTACATCAGTCTGTTACAGATTTCTAACATGTGTAACTCATGCATCATTTTTCAGAAGGAAATGTATATTAAATTGAAATATCAGGGTTGTACTTACTGTAGCTAATTCATCAAATTTTCCAAAAAGCTCATTCAGCAGCTTCACCAACTCTTGGGCAGTGCACTGTGATGCCAAACTAGTGAACCCCACAATGTCTGCAAACAAAATACTGTAAAGAAAGAGACACAGATAAATCAGCAGAGAAGATACCTTCACATTCTCATTACTCTCTTTCATAGCACAAATGTGACCCAAAGCACTAACTCCATTAAGTCCTGAAATATTATCAATAAAATGCTAGTTGTAAAAAAAATGGAAAAGATTCAGAAAAATAGGCATCAGTCTGGTGCTGTGAGCTGTTGTAGAGAACTCTCAGACACTCTCAATGGCTACAAATGTACCTGGCAGATGAGGCAAAGCACCTCATTCATGTGAGTACTGTAGGAGCATAGTGAGCAATTCATTCTCTTTGCAGCAAGGACCTCCTCAGCTAAATTGGGTTCAGAGGTGGTTTTGTACTGATAGAGCTCCACAGCCAAACAGATAAACCTTGCATGAGGTTTACTATGTACTGAAGGAGAGGGGTTAATAACTTAAGTGCAGAAGCTCTGTGATGTGGTCTTACTGTAGCTCCCTGTGAGGAGCTAAATCCGCAGTGTCAAACCAGTACTCTCTGCACTGTGCTGCCCACCTCAGGTAAGTGTCCAGCCTTCATCAGTATTATCAAGGTTTTAATGTCCACCAGTTTAATCTGCTTTAACAATCCCTGCTAGTCAGTGTTGATCAAGGGAGATAATAGAAATAAGTGCAGGTACCATTGTGTCTGAGAGAATAAAAATTCTTGTGTAAATCACAAAACTCAAAAGAGTATGGTGCTGTGACCCTTTCAACTCTTTAGAATCCTTCTGTTGGTAGAAGCACAGAATCAGCTGCAGGAACACACTGCATTTTTCTCCAAGATCCAGACTAGAAATGACAACTAATTTATGAAAGCCCTAATAAACCGTCCCATGACATATAGCCTAGGAATACTTGACATAGTGTATAGCACTGGTTGTTAACTGTAAATTGAATTAAACATTATGCACTACCATTCACCTCAACAAAGCTTCACTCTTTAGATAAAAAAGCAATGCTAGAAAGGCAGGCCTAACAAGTCTACTGTTTTTCATCCTTCATAAGCAAGTCTCAATGCTCCTAACATGTTACAAAAAATGGTAAATGCAACTCCTGACTCAGACCCTGCTTCTATAATTTCATTTAATCCAGTTGTTTAAATCCCTTGTTCACCACAGATGATAAATAGCATATCCCAGCTCAAAACCAGCTCATCCAAAGTTCAATCACTTTGGTCTACAAACAAAACCTCTACGTTGTCATGTCAGTCTTTGGGGCAGTGTCTCCACTCAGTACTCCTTGGAGCATGCATTATGAAAACATTGCTCAAGATGGCCCTGTCTCAAGGAAAAAAATAGTTATTATATTCCTGTGCTGTTTAAACATAACAAAAAGGCTTCCTACAATAAAAAAAAGTTAGCATTTAGTTAATTTTACTGATTCACATCTCTGTTATCATAAAAGTGAACCAGTCAGGTTATGGTTCAAGTAAAATGCATTGACAGACTTCAATAACACCAGCAAAGTGACCTGCATATTTACCCTGAAAGATCTACTTAATCTCTTAATTCTTTATTGACATCCTTGTTGTGTGATGGCCCTAGATTGGTCTTTCTGGAAATTCAAGTTTCCTAAATTCCTTGAAGATTTTCAAAAGCACTTAAATGTGTATTCATGTCTTTCATACATTTTGCTTTAAGGATGTTTTTCTTTATGACCTAAATTCAAATCAGAACTTCTACGGTTTAAAAATACGCAGAGGGAAAAGTACAACAATTATAACTGTTGCAATGCAGTTTGTCATGTAGTTTCCTGGTTTTAATTCAATACTATCAATATGGAGGGGGAGTGTGGATGTCACTTCATAATAATAGCTTCTGATAGCCTCTCTGCCATTTACATCTCATATATTCTACACATTTTACATTTTGATTGGTTTTATTGTTCTATTTCCATTTTAAATATGGCAGTGCACTTTTTTTTTCACTGTCTAGCTGCACATACAGTAGCAGTCATATTTTCAGCAGCACTATCAATGCCCACTTGCGAAAAAAAACCCCATGGGATGGGGAGTGGGTTAGGCCTTTAAGGTAATAACAATGTTATTTCTTTACCTAGGTCTTTAGCAATGAGGAACATCTGTATACACAGAAACCAGAGGTTTGTTGTTTGTGAAAAATATGTCTTGACAGTTAACAGAGCAATCATTATGATACTGACATGTATGCATACATCAAAACCTCTCTATTAGTGAAACATAGAAAATAGGAAACAGGTTCCTGCATTATCATTCAGTTAAGAAGAAAGTTACTTTACTTATGGGTACCTTAGTAGGTCAGTATGAGATTCTTGCTAATCCTTTAAACATTTAAAGAATAATTATTCCTCAGCACTTGATTCAAAAAACTGGTAACTGTACAAAAATGTGAAGTCCATAAAAGCACCCACAATACAGAACTGAAAATGCCATTGAAAATCTAGGTAAAATATGTAATTATTATATGCTGAGAGACTGATGTTCAGTTATGCTTATGAAGTTTTTAATACTGCAGTTAACTACATGTATACATTTTAAAGCTAATGGAATAGGTTAGGTAATATGATTATTGTTACACTTCCTTTTTTTTTACAAAATTCCAAAGTCTTTTAATACAATATTCTTAAAATATGCAAAGTCTAACTCTCTTGTCTGGACATGGCACAGATGGAGAAATGCTGTGAGTAGAAGTTCTGCCTTTTAGTAATGAAAAATCTCCTCCATTTTACCAGCATGAAATGTTGCAATCACAGTAACTGCTGCACTTTGTTTGAAAGTAGGCTGAAATGCCAGTGACCAAACCTGGCTTTGCAGTGACAATGGTAGGAGACAGCCAGTGGAGAAGCAGGGCATTTCCATACCCAAAGTGCAACTGGCACTGCAAGCCTGCTGCTTCGATGATGGCAATGCTGAGGAGAGTGACCCTCCCACATGCACACACACAGCTCTACTATTCTAAAACATAGCATTGAAACTCAACAGCTGGTTCATTTTATTTTAGCTGGTGAACTGACCAATATTATCTCTTCTACTTCTTCACCCATCTGTGTCCATCTATAGCCTCTTCCCATACTTGTACTACAAGTATTCTTGGGCAGCACCAACATGTACTCTCATTGTACAACATCTAAAAGAAATTAGAGCAGCATCTTAGTCTGTGATGTGGAGTCAAATTACCCAACTGTTGCAATAAACTTTTTTCCCTCTTATGTTCTGCCCAGGTTTTTGGAAAGTAAAGGACAAGTAGGCCTTTATGAGGAGATGGCAGAGTCAGTCACAGGGAATGAGAACAGAAAAGAGATCTGAATTCTTGCTAAGGCCATGAAATCATAATGGTACTAAAGAGAGAAATTATAAGATATATGCTGTCAGAATTCCTATCATAAGCCTGAACTGTTTCCAGGGCCAAATATATTCAAATATTCTCAAAGTTCAAGTCCCCACATCGGCACTGAATTTCCCTTTCGTCTGTTTTGGATATATTATTGATACAAAAGTACTGAAACCTTTAAATTAAAGCCATGTCTAAAATACTCAGAAAAGTTAAAACAAAGTAGCTACAGGAGTGACATCAGCATTAAAGCACATTAATCACTCCTGCAGATACACTCATCCAAGAGCAGAGTAGTCTTGCTTCACAGTAAATCAATCTGTAATTGCTATGGAGGTTTACATCCTCGGAGAGGATTAAACTGGAGTAAACTAGGGCTACATTATTTATGCATGAAAGACTCCTCATAATGGTATGGTATACAAATGAACACTTTATAATGATTGCCAAGTAATTTTATTTTTAAAAATGTTGGCATATATAGAAACAAGAAGTGAGAAGCTACCAATTAACAATTGTTTCTCTTAATGATCACTGAAGGATGTAACTGTCTCTTCTTTAATTCCACACAATTAAACAATTTTATTCCACAGAATTAATAATGCCATTGGGCACTTCGGTGAGAAACCAAAAAAAACCCCAAAACCCTTCAATCTCCTTTAAACTACAACTATTAACGAAAGAAGAGAAATGAAAGTGGAAAGAAACTGGAAACAAAGGACACATGTTACTTCTGTCTGCTCAGCAGCATATCTCGCACATGATTCAAGCACTGTCCTTCCCTACAAGCGATGTGAATGTGTCTCTTAGGAAGGCTAGGTAGCTATTGCAGTGCTGCCTCATTGCCCAGGGGCTCAGCAATGCTCCATGATCTTGCATGGCACAGAGATGAGACTGACTAGACTGTAGTTCTCCAGATTTTCTGCTTTCCCTTTTCTAAAAATGAGGGTTAGTTCCCAATTTCCAGTCTGTAGGGACTTTACCTCACTGCCATGACTTTTCAAATACGATAGTGACTTAGCAACTTCATCTGCCATTTCCCTCAAAGCTCACAGATTAATTTACTCAGGTCCCATGGACTTGTGCACATTCAGGCTCCTTAGATGTTCTTGGGCCTGATCCTCCCCTGCAGTGGGATCAACTCTGTCATCTGTCAGCCCTGCATTTGTCTTTTTTGACCAGGGCAGCATGGCCGGAGCACTTGCTGTTAAAGAGTGCGGTGTAGAAGTTGTTGAGAACCTCAGCCTTTTTGTCCAGGGTAGCCATGTCTCCTATTTCCTATTGGAGAGAGTCCAAGTGATAACTAGGGATACCTAGTATTTCTTTTGCTTCCAACATATCTATAGAAGACCTTTCTGTTATCCTCAATATCCACAGCCAGACTCAATTCTATCAGGGGCTTGGCTTCCCTAACCTTGTCCCTAACTTCCTGTATAATTCCCCTGTTTTCTTCCCAGGCCACCTGTCCTCATTTCAGCTTCCTGAAAGCTTCTTTTTTTTTTTGTTCTGGGGTTGCTCAGCAGCTCCTTACCCATCCATTATGGCCTCCTAGCATTTTTTCCTGATTTCCTCCTTGTTGGTTGCATTGTTCCTGAGCTTGGTAGAGGTGATACTTGAAATTCAGCCAGCATTCATGGGCCCCTCTGCCATCCAGGGCTCTATCCCATGGTTCTGTACTGAGAAG